CTGCCCCGTTGTTTTAAAAAGGTAGACTAGCCCACCCGCACCTACCTCTCCCGTCCCCTCTCACCTCCCCTCTCCGTCTGCGATGGGGCTACATAGTCTACCTTTTCAAAACAACGGGGCAGAGCGGCCACCCTGTATACTGGTAACGATAAGTTTCGCTTTCCTCATATGCATGGGTCATTTGGTCCTCGTCAGTAGGGGGTGTTGGTCGCCTCTATGAGATGACGGAAATGACGCGAAAAACAACTCGCGGCCAATTTAGTGGGGCGGGGAAGGACGCCGCGCCGCGCCGATACAGGCGCCATACATACCAGGTGGCTGATTCAGGCAGCGCACTTTCGTAACTACGTAAATACTGTACCGCATGCACCCGGGCTAGCGAGGTTGCCTACCCGCTCGGAGCCATGTTGGCCTTCGACGATAGGCAACCCACCCGCACGCGTGCATGCGGGACATTGAAGCTACAGAAGTGTGCTGCGTGAATCACCCACACATGGCTGGTACCTATCCATTCTTCAAGAATGGCGCCAGAATGGAGCGACGTGCAGGGAAAGGGGTAGAAGAAATGAAAGGAGGATGAGGAGGAGGCAACTGAGGTGAAGGTGAAACGTTGCCGCAAGTGGCAAGCGGCCGCAAATCGGTGGATGCAGGGTTGCCTGGGAGTACACTGCGAATGCACATACTGGGGGGTGCACTACCAATTATATTTCGTTTTCCCGACACCCTCGGGTGACAGCGCTAGCAGCTGGATGGCCCGGCTTGAGGCGATACTCCACACATAAAGTCTCTCGAGATGGGAGTAGTGGTGGCTATACACTTTATCATGACAGCTAGTAAGTCTATGATAGGTCCTACAATCATGAATTCATCATGAGTCGACGAAGCTATTAGCTTGGAAGGCATGTTTACTGATTACCACAAAAATTATATTAGCAAACAGTGATGATGTCACTTACTAAACAGAAAAATGAGGAACATTAGCTAAAATATGTATAAGTGGGAGGAAGCATATACTAGGATTAGAATCCTCCAAATGTATTGCTAGTACTGTTTTATAAAAACACATTAAACATCAAGGATCATTACCTCAGATTATGTTGACACAAACAAATGTAGTGAATGGGGTGTTAATAGCTTATATATTTAAAAAAATTCTTCCAGGACACCGTCTAAGCATCCTTATGAAACCAATAATTACACATAGAACACAACAGATGATAACTAAAAAAAAATGAAAAAGGATTTGACACTTATGATCAGGCCAGAGCAGAGGCCACTAATGGGTGTAGACGTAGACAGATACAATTACAGATTAAAACATCAAAATTTTGAAACACTTGATTAAATTAAGTGATTCGTTGATTCTTTGACAAGTAGTAATCCATTGAAGTTATGAGCTGGTTATACTGTTATGCAGTAAACATAAGATTAGGGGTAACCCAATTAACTTCACTGAATGGGATAGTTTACAATTATGAAAACTAGCAATGAACAACCACTGTCAAAACAAGGCTAACCTCCAAACAATGATGGACAACTCACCCTTTCCAGTTTCTGGAAGTATTCCCTGAGGAAGGAGATTGGATTGTCGGGTCTTGTTACACAGAGCTGGATGATACAATCTTTCAACAACTGCTGAATGTTGTGGGTTTGTACGTAAACTTCACATTCTCGAGTCTGTTCTTCCTCTAAATTTGTAGCCATCTTCAGACAAGCAGACAACAATTTAAAGTTGACCTGATTGTCAAACAACAGGCCTGCTCGGTCGTTATTGAAGATATTAAGAGAATAACTTTTAATTAGGAATTACAATTAAACAATGACAAAGCTATGGTCAGCCAAAAACTATTGCATTAAGTCAAAACAAGTAAATTAATTCCCTTTCTGAGAAAGTACCGAAACAGCCGACATTCGTTTACTGCCGTTACTTGGAAACAGTAGATCGCACCCATCGCACCCCATAAACCGACCGTTCTGACCAAACAATCCGTTATTGAATTCGTTGTTTCTCAAAACTAACTACCACCTCGGTTTTCTAAATTATTCTTTTAAATCAGACAGACTTCTGGTGAAATAGAATTTTTTGTTTCGAAACATAAAGACGGAAAAAAATAGACGTCGTCTGCACTCCTCGCTTTCATTTGTTTCTTACACAACACCGGCGGGAACTTTAAATAAGAACAATATGTATAGTATTTAGCCTTTTTCAAGGTTTAATGCAAAGCCTTTTCAGTTGAGGTGATTACCGTGTGTTTTAAAACGCTTTATCCAATCCAAAATAAGGCGATTATTTTCTACTTGTCAGGTTACTGTGTATTTACACTTGATTGTGTCACACTGTAATGCTTGCCAGCCAAACAAACATTTTCATTGGAGTGTGGTTGCACACCACACACCACACCACACGAAACGAATGATGACTTTTCAGATTCTTTGCCCTGTGCAGGCCTAGACCTGTCCACTACCTGAATTACCGATAGTGGTAAAGGCGACAGTCTCGTTTCTTGTTTCATACTTAAAGAAGTTTATTGAATGACAATGTCAAAGGAAACGTTCTGAAGAAACTTAAGGAGTGAGCTTGATTTTCAGTCGCAGTAGCCGCTAGCCGGTAAGGTGGAATATTTATGTTTTAATTGCCTTGGATTAGAAGAAGAATTTACAGTATCATACGTGTTCAGAATTCTTTTCTATTTTGCGTGTCTTTCGGGTTTTGGTAATTCTTCAGAAATACCGGGTGGGTCAGCAGACGATGTTTGTGGGACAGATAGCAAACTTTCTGAAAACTCTGTTCGGATTTTTGAAAAATTGAGTGTACGACATTTGTATCCTGTTTACTTTTTCCTTTCTATAAGGAACAATTTATATTTTATTGATGTTTCTATTTTATATTTCAAATTGTCAATAGGGAAGAGGTTATGACATTTTAATGGCTGCTTGTTTGTGATCAAGTTTTATGATTTTTTGAAGTATTACTGACTTTTTCGGCTGACCTATTGTTTTTTACACAGGTTCGCAGTAAAGAGTCATCATGCTGTACTGCCCTCCTAACATTACTCTCAGTCAAGTGTGGGTTGACGGTGGAACTTCACAATGCTTTATGGATACTGTTTCGAATAGTATCACAGCAGGATGGCTTTTGCTGTTTGGAACAAGTCAACTTTGGATATATCGCAAATGGGGCACACAAGTTTCACAAGCATCACTCCCAAAATCACAGCTGTATGGTCTACAGCTATTGTTTCTTGTATTATTGCCTGTGTTATGTGTTGTTCGCTTTGCTGTGCAAGCGACACTCATTAATGACAATGTGGTATATGGTTATATGGTAAGTAAACATTTATGTAGACAGTCAATTATTTTTTCCCTTTTAATTATGTCTTTTTAACCAATATTTTCCTTTAGATTCTGTCCATGGTGTTATCAATAGTCCAGTTTCCTTTATCTATTGCGCTTCTTGTTGTTGAGCGCCACTATTTGCTACCATCTGTTCCATCAAGAGGTCATGGTCTAGTCCTGTTGCTCTTTTGGAGTTTGCTCTTCATTTTTGAAAACCTCAGCTTTGTAAATTTACGGAAAGATGATTGGTGGTTCCATTTAACTACGTAAGTCTCTTCCACAAGATCCTGATCCATTGAGTGTATAATGTATTTGGCTTTGCTTCATCGCAGGTTGTTGAGATGGTTCTCTTCTTTTAGTGATACAGTAACTCAATATGTTCAGAGAAACCTATTTAAACTTGGATCACTTAAAGATTTCATTAATGACATTTTTTTAAACTTTCCAAAAAATATCTAAGTTTTTAGAAGTTGTGGATGTGTGATAAGAATTTAACATTGTTGCAGGCTTACAGACAAGATTGAGATGGCCTTGTTTGTACTCCGATATGTGTCTTGTCTTGGCATATTTGTGCTTGGATTACGAGCCCCTGGCATTATGACCTACCGAGATTATTACAATATAGGTTCTGCTTCTTCTGAAGCTAGAATACCAATTGTGGAGGTAAGGATCAGTTTTCCATGACAACAAAGATCAGTGGAGTGCAATTGTTGACTTCTCTTTCTTTACTTTACTTTTTTTCATTTTTTTATTAAATGTTTTGCAAAGCTCAAAATTTAGTCAAATTACTCCTCTTTGGGATAATTACTAATTACATAGGACTAAATCATATGGTTTAGTACTAAACAACTAGGATGTAAAGAATCCTATAAATTATGTTCTCTCTTTTTGTGAAGGACCCTGATTCCAGCAATGTTTCAACCTGGCGTAACTTCTGGAAAAAAGTAAAAATACTTGCACCTTTTCTGTGGCCGCACAAAGAGATATTATTGCAGTTCAGAGTACTGTTCTGTTTCCTGCTCTTAGCCGGTGGACGTGTTATCAATTTGTATGTGCCCATATTTAGCAAGCTCATAGGTATGATGAAACTAATTTTTAAATTTTTGTTTTGGTTTATCTTATGAGAGGACTCAGCGTTCTAACATGATTAAACTTGTTCACAAAATTTGTTATTTTCAGTTGACAGCATGACTGAAAAGTCACCAATCTTTCACTATGACTATGTTATGATCTATGTGCTCTTTAAATTTCTGCAAGGAAGTGGGACTGGTGCAATGGGCCTTTTAAATAACTTGCGGTCATTTTTATGGATTCGTATACAACAGTATACCACACGAGAGGTTGAGGTAAGAAATATTTACAGTACAAAAATTTCATCTATATTGTTTTTGATAAAAAAAATTGTGTTTGTTCTTTAAATTATCATTTCTGAATTTGTAGGTATCTCTTTTCGAGCATCTGCATGCTCTTAGTTTGCGTTGGCATTTGAGTCGCAAAACTGGAGAGGTTCTGAGGGTCATGGACAGGGGAACAGACAGCATCAACAACCTGCTTAATTACATTTTATTTAGCATCTTCCCCACTATTACTGACATAGTAATTGCAGTTGTCTTCTTTGTGTCATCATTCAATGGCTGGTTTGGACTCATTGTCTTCACAACTATGGTGCTATATATTGGTAAGCAGTTTTCCTATCAACATTTTTAAACAATATTCAGGATAATAGTTTACAAAAATTTTTTCCCTTAGCTGCCACTATAATGGTGACTGAATGGAGAACCAAATTTCAGCGAAGAATGAATCTAGCTAACAATGCTCAAAATGCAAGGAGTGTGGATTCCTTGCTCAATTTTGAAACTGTTAAATACTATGGAGCTGAAGCGTATGAGGTTGAGGCATACAAGGAAGCTATTTTGGTCTATCAGGTAATGGTTATATATAGAATTACTCTAGTTGTAATAAAACAATTCTTCATTTGTAATTTTTATCCTCCTACAGAAAGAAGAATGGAAGAATAGTTTAACTCTAAACATTTTGAACACTGCGCAAAACCTCATAATCAGTGCTGGGCTTCTTGCTGGGTCGTTGTTGTGTGTTCACATGGTTGTTGATTTGCACGCCCTCACAGTTGGTGATTATGTTCTATTTTCATCATACATTATCCAACTTTATGTTCCACTCAATTGGTTTGGTACATATTATCGGTAAGTAATATTATGATCTATCCTTTAGTGTAAGTAATTATTTTGATCAATACCTCCAAATGTTAGATTAATTATATTAAATTAATGTGTTTTCTCAGTGCCATCCAGAAAAATTTTGTAGACATGGAAAACATGTTTGACCTTCTCAAAGAAACTCAAGAAGTTGTTGACATACCTGGGGCTGGCCCCCTGGCTGTTCGTCAGGGAAAGATAGAGTTTTGTAATGTATCATTTTCTTATCTACCAGAGAGAACAGTATTGAAAAATATTAGTTTCACAGTTCCTGGTGGTAAAACAGTTGCTATTGTAAGTAAGAACTTCAAGTTTGGTATTTTGATTGTGATTTAATTTGTATTAATCTGAACCTTGTTTAGGTTGGGCCAAGTGGAAGTGGTAAAACAACAATAATGCGTTTGCTCTTCCGATTTTATGATGTTGATAATGGAGCTATTCTGATTGATGGACAAAACATTAAAACAGTTCAACAAAATTCCTTACGTCAAAATATTGGTGTTGTTCCTCAGGATACAGTCCTGTTCAATAATTCTATTAGGTTTGTATTCCTTTTCTAGATTTTGTTTTAAATCTGGTTCTTATCAAGGCTTATGAGTTTTAAATTGTATTCCAGGTATAATATTCAATATGCTCGACTGAATGCAGCAGAAGCAGATGTCATTGCAGCTGCCAAGAGTGCAGAAATTCATGACCGTATTCTCACATTCCCTGAAAAATATGACACTCAAGTAAATAATTTGAAGCCTATACTATTTTTGTTGTTGGAATTAAGATGTTATTCACCAGATAATATTTTCTTGTAGGTTGGAGAGCGTGGTCTGAAACTCAGTGGTGGTGAAAAACAAAGAGTTGCAATTGCTAGGACAATTCTTAAGAGTCCAGCAATTGTACTTCTAGATGAAGCAACAAGTGCTTTGGATACACAAACAGAAAGAAATATTCAGGTATAATTGTGTTATAAATCCATTCAATCTTGGTCTAATAGCATTGGTCAATGTCATGGAAATATTTCTTTTGTTTCTATTTCAGGCGGCCCTTCACAAAGTTTGTGCCGACCGCACGACTGTTATTGTAGCTCACCGTCTTTCAACAATTATCCATGCTGATGAGATTATTGTTCTGAAAGAAGGTGAAATAGTGGAAAGAGGAAGGTATGCTTGAGTGTTTCATTTTTTGATAGTTAGTAAGCTAAGAACAATGATATGTAACTTAATAACCTTTCTTCTGTCTTTGCTAGGCATGAAGAATTGATCACCCAAGAGAGTGTTTATGCTGACATGTGGCAGCAACAGCTGAAGAATGATAATGAAGCTCTGAAGGAGAGTAACTCTGAAGAGAACTCAACTAGTAGTGGCAAAGGGACAAGATAGTGGAAAATAAATGTATTAGGTTTCTTAAATTGTTACTGAGGTCCTATCTCTTCAATAGGGCTCTTCACTTTTCTCTAATTTATTGGTCCTATACGTTCCTCCTTTACAATTATTGTGAAACAAAGTTATTTACCTAAGTGGTAGATCATATTAGATGTAAATATATTTTAAAGCATTCTTTAGGAATTTGCATTGGCTGCATAGACTGATGTTTTTAAAGTAGTGCCATTGTAGAATTTCAAAGCCTGTATAGTGTAAATTAATGAATTACTAAAGATCCCATTTAATGAGAATTCAGATTTTATTTGTTGACAAGTAGCAGATTACTTCGGCATCTACTGTGTGGATTAAAACGACTGGTTTACTGGTAACAATTTTTTCAATTTATTTTGTTCAACCTTTTAGTCTTATGAATTATCCGAAGAGGTTCAATCCAGACCCATTATTGTGTGTATTTTCATATTGCCTATTCTGTAGAAGTGTTGTGCAGCTTAATAAAATAGAAAATTATGAATTAATGTGAAGGTTTAAAACAACTTTTAAAAAAATCCATTAGTCATTGAGAACATGGAGAACTTTATTATAAGAACATGCTCAAACAAATTAGTAATTTATCTAAATGTTTGTAAAACTTTAGTGACGCTACAGGCCGCGAAGAAAGTCGGGGCGCATTCGCCTGCTGCAACGGCCGTTACTGCTACACAACTCAGGTGACAAAGAGTGTGGTGGCCCGATGGTCTGGGCTCTGCAACAAAACGATCCGCCTCCCAGACTAATAGGGAAGGCATCTATCAAGTATTACAGAAACATAATCATTCAAAGAGTACACATAATCAGATCACTACCAAGAAGGAAGACCGACAATTACAGTTACCCAAAGATGACAGTTTGTTCTTAACACTCCACAGATCCCAACCCTAAAAAGTTCAACACATTATAAAAAGATTTAGGAGGCAGTTTTTTTCAGTATTTATAAATAGTCGATAGAGATAGTTTCACATTTTGTCAACAGCATTACAGTATAAGGTCGATCACACCCCGACCTCGGTGAGACCAAACTTCACACAGTTTAGGTAACTATGGAAATTTTGTAATTTAGTTTACAAAAAAAAAAAAAAAAAAGGGGGGGCTGCTTTGTCTGGCTTCTCATAAGAAACCAATCTGGCAAGAGAAGCTCCAGACCAGCACAGCTTTCACAATCACTGAAGCACACAATCCCTCTCACGTCGAAAACGTGGCTCCCCCATAGAGAGGGTTTTTTTTTTGTTTTTTTTTATTATTTTTTTAAATTTTTTTTTAATTTTTATTTTTTTGTTTTTATATGAACTGGTATTTGGCTTATTTGTAATTTAAATGTACAATAAAGATCGAAACAATTAAATAAATTTGGAAGATATGTTTTGATGGTGCTGAGAAGCACCTTAAAAAGTACAAGATAGTTTTAGAACTTTTATATGAAAGTAGTTTGTAAATCTGCTTTGTGACCTACAATCGCAAGAAACCAGTGGCCTCGTTCGTCCAGCTAAGAGACCGTACGTTACCAGGCCAAACATGGCACCGATAACACCACGAAACACATCACATTAGACTACTGAAGAGCTAATGTACAAAGGCCCTGTCTTATTTGACAAAACATTAGATCACTGGAACCCTTGAAAAGGGAAGATCATAATATAATTTCTAACAAAACAGTTTATAGATAAGGCCAAGTAAATACACTATTCAGCCGAAGTCAGATCCCCCATTCTCAATTTCTTGTATAAGAAATTTGAGAGAATAGAAGAAAAGAGAAGTAGGAGATCATGAATCGGCATGAAGTGGAACTGAACAGACCCCTCGCCCAAGAAAAAGCATTTCACGCAGCAAAGTACAACACAACTTCCTTCACGTGGAGCTACTTAGTCTGGCCCCTCATATGAAACCAATCTGGTACGAGAATCTCCAACCCAGCCTAGCCTTCACTCGGGCAGGAACCAATAACTAGCAGTAATGGCTCCAATCTCAATCCCTCTCACGAACGAAAACGTCATGCCCCACCTAGAGAGGGTCTTCTCAATAATAAAAATTGACTGCAAATAAAAAAACAAAATAAAAAATATTGAAGATCACTACCAACAAATTGGAGTGAAATTCATAAACATGAGGAAAAATAATGTCTTTACCATGCCAACACTTCATAAACTTCAGGTTTTAGCAATCGCCTCCTTGATTCAAGACAGCATCAACTGGATGATTAAAACCGCGAATATTAAGATGCTCCTGAACACACAGACAGTGGAAACACTTTACATCCTGAAGCACAGCAAATGTTGGTATCAATTAAAGAAAAAAAAACACTTACCTCCATTTCACAAAAGATGCAGCCTTTTGTTTTGACAAACTACTTGGGTGGGAGGCAGTAAGGGCACAATATCAAATAAGCCTTTTCAAAAGCAAAAAACATGATGCTTCACTTTGAGATTGTCTGTCATTTAAGATGACGTGCTTGCATTGTGTACAAAATGGGATATGTCTCTAAAAATCAACAAACAACAAATAAGTAAATATTATTTGTCACACAATACAAAATAATTATTATCACATAAAGTGGGATCCCATGGAATCAACGGCCCCAAAAGTTGTGGTAAAGGGAATCCATTTCCATCATGGCATCCAATGTGATGGGGGATCCCCAAGCCGTCCAAGCCCCATGTGAATTTTCTTGTTGGACTTAACAAACTGAAATTATTCATAAGCGTGACTCACCTTTCATGTGATTAACGTTCATGAAAAAGTTTCAGGCCTCCTGATACTCGAATAAGTAGCGCTAACTACTCGACACAACCATTGCTAAGTCTGATCCCGGCCGCCACCCTCCACAGCCACAATGCCAGCACCACCGGCAGGCGTAATGGCGACCAGCGGTGGCGGCTAGAGCCGGCCGGCAGCCCGCACAATACTGAACTAAAAATACCACCACACCACTGCGACTGCGCTGACATGCCCGCTTTGAGGAAGGGTGCCCCCCACGCCCGCCCCGCCCGCCCGCGTGACGGCTGAAAACTGGGAGAGGGGAGTAGAGAGAGGGGGAGGGAGAAGGGCGTTGAGAGAGGGGGACGGAGAGAGCAGAGGGGAAAGGGAGGAAGGGGAGGAAGGTGGAAAAGAACAATAAGGGGTTCCACGGGGGACTGCGTCGGAAGGTATTCCCCTTCGAAGAACTCATACGAGGAAGGGATGCGGGTGAAGGGGGGAAGGGGGGGGGGATGACAGATGACAGAAAAGAACGTGTGGTCTGTTCGACCATGGTTTGACCTACGCGAGCGTGTGGTGCCTGGTGCCTCAGTGAGTTAAACGTTCCTGAAAGATGTCACAAGATAGGGATCGTTGGGCACCAAACGTTATTTCGGTTGACCGATCAAACCCTGCATGAGGGGCTCAGGACGGGCCGCTGGCTCCGCACAGCTGCTTGGCGGGATAGCCTACCCCGCGCGCTGCAGGCGCCATCATGAGCTGAGACTATCCTGTTGAGCCTGTACCTGATCAATCTGTAGGGGATCAAAAAACTCTTGCATGTTACAGCACAGCCGGAAGGAGCCCCCGTGTATAATCATGTCACATAACTCCGCCCCCTCCCCCCCCCCCCCCCCAAAAAAAAAGAGCCTGAGTTAGGACAACAGTTTTAGAGTATTCGATAGATTTATTCATTATGATACATATTTACACACATATACACACATAGTTCCCACAACTACAACATAAATCTAAAGGTAAAACTTCAAAAAATTTATGGAGGTTCTTTTAAATGGAAAAATTAATAGGTGCTGGGGAAGAACACACGATTACAAGAGGAAGATGTTTGAGAAGACAATTTTTAAACCAGAAGACAACATAAGAGGAATAAGTCGAATATAACTGCAGATTTGTAAAATGTACCACACTACTTGCTAGATTTTCAGTTTGTTTTATGCAATTACATTTTTGGCAGTTTTACATGTATCACACACAATGTTGCTAAAGATATTTTTTATCACTGTAAATTAAAGGCTTCAAAAGAAAATAATTTAGGAATGAGGAGGAAGACAAAATTACATTTCTTGGGAATGGACCATAAAAGTTAGAGAGGAAATAAATGGTGGTGTTGAAAAACAAAGAGTCATATGTTTTTTGTAAGTTTTGTCTTGACTCATTCTAAACGTTAAAAATTAGAAGCCCTAACCAGCATGGAGGTTTGTAAAGATAAAGTTAATTTATGGGATCCATTTGAGCAATAACTTTGGCATTTATGGTAAGATAGTTTGTACTTTATTCAAACAATTTAAAAATGACCTCTGGAACTAAAAATTTCTGACCAGAATGAGTCTAGAAAATTTAATCACCAGAATGCAAAGGGGGACTGAATCATTATGGCTTTGGTCAACAGAATTTCTGCTACTAGATTTTTAAAATCAATAGGCCGATATAAAAAATGGAGCACAGTAAACAATGCAAAATTCCAGCTATGCTAGCAAAGTTGGAGAGATAGTAGATATTTACATTATTATTATGGATAGTGGAAGCAAGCTATAGGCTTTTGGTCCACAAGAATACAGCTTTGCAAACTGGATAGCATTTTTAGAAAGGGGAAAGTTGATACTTCCTAACTGCAAGTGGCACAGCTTGGTAGCAAGCAGTAGCACCAAATGCTAGTATCATTAGAGTTCACAAAGATTTACTTCAGATCACAGAGATAGTATTAAAAAATACTTCATTCACACAAAATGGTCCACTGAACAGAGGAAGAGAATTAAGTGAGATGGTGTGAGGAGAAATGAAACTAGTAGTCCAAAATTACATATGAATTTTGAAATTCAGTAAAAATTGAAACTTTCTATTCTATCTAAAATTTAAACTGAGCAAAATTGAGTGGACCACAAGAGAGAGACAGATATTGTTTCCTGAAATGGATACATTCGATCATAAAGATCTAAAGGGAACACAACACAGGAAAATAGAAGTTGTAGGAGCACACCTACGAAGTGTGCAACTCCCAGCATGTTATCATTTGTCAAACCATATCACTATGGTTAAAACAGACATCATTGGTACTTTCTTTTTTTTTAAAGAAAAAGAAGTCACTGGGAACTCAGTATCAAATAATAATAAACGAAAGTATCTAACGAAAGTGTCTCCTATCGAAAATATTTCAGTCCAACCACCATTAGAAATTTTTCCAAAAATTTCTCTGAGTCGAGAACAGCAATATGTGCAGCGCGGCCGATCAGAGCGTCGGCGGTGTGCGCGCTAAAAGAATGGTGAACGTCGTACCGGACAAAAGTCACGTCCGGATTGTTGATGATGGGATGCAAAATGTTTTGGACCATTTCTCGGTAGGCAGTTCCTGCAACATTATCGAAACAGTGCGCTCCATTGAATGTCGTGGCATGACGTGTGGTGGCCGCCCCGCCCCGCGCCGCCGGGCTCGCATCCGGCCGGCGGGGAGGTTGTTGTCGCGCTTATCGCCACAACACGACGCCCGCGTCTCATTCGCACACTCTGCGCATTCCAGGGCTGAGCGATTAGGCGGAGGGGGCAGGGGTCTCTGCTTGCTACGTACCTTGGACGGACGAGTCCTTGACGGCCGCCTTGCACAGCTCGATGCGGGCCGAGTGCAGCGGCACGTAGCGGTCCTGCGAGGAGCCGCACAGCAGCACGTTCTTGAACAGGTGCAGGTTGGACACCTGGCTCAGCTTGTACATAAAGGTCTGCCGCAGGTCCGGGGCGTCGCGGCACGACAGCTGCACGATGGAGTCCGAGCCTTTGAGGCGGGACAGCAGCCAGACGCCTGCGGGTACGAGCGACCAAAAGGCCAAGGCCGAGTTGACTTTTGCGACTTCGCGCCTCATTGCCATTCGCCGACCCCACTGTATAGTACGTACCCATGTTGACGAGGCCGCTGCTGTTGTAGAGGGTGCCGAGGTGCGGCCCCACCAGCGACAGGAACGTGTGCAGCCTGCCGAGCAGCGGCTTCATGCGCGGCTTGGCCAGAGCCGCCCGGATGATCACGTTGCCCAGCGAGTGGCCCACGAAGCTGATGCGCGACGGGTTCAGCCCCACCGTGTCCACGTAGTACAGGATCTCTGTCACAAGCCGGTCGCCCATCGTGTCGAAGTCGGTCTGCGTGTCGCACTGCGGGCCGGGGGAGGAAATAAGTCATAAAATCCGGGTCTCCAAAGATCTGGACTTGACGAGCGCCTGCCGTGCCACGGGTAGGCAACCCCATGGCAGGCGAGTGCGACGGGAGGGTATTCCCCGGCTTCCACGGCCAGAGCCGACACGTACCGAGTTCCTCTCCGACATGATGAACTCGAGGTTCGAGCCCGGGAGGCCCAGCTCTAGAAAGGCCTTGACGAGCCGCAGATCGTACGAGTTGCCGCTCAGGCCGTGGACGCACACCACGAGGTGGAGCCCGGACGGCGAGTAGAGGCGGCACGAGTCGCTCATGTAGAAGTACGGCAGCGTCGAGGCCAGCGTGGCGAAGTCACTGAAGGGAAAAAAGAGAGAGCCTTAGTGACATCGTTATTCCAGCTAGCCACGCGTCGAAAACATCTGGTTTGCACAATAACATACCTGTAAATCATACCGGAGAAGTTCATCTGCCTCTTGAACTCTTCCTTGGCCTTGGCGAAGCTCACGATAGCCTCGTAGTCGGAACCGGAGAGGATGAGCTGCTGGTCTTGGTCCTGCAGGTCCTGAGGCTCTTCAGCCTGAGGAGCGGGCGTCGGTTCGGGCTGAACTGTGGCCTGCACAGCCAGCATGGTGAGCTCCGTCTTCCTGCTAGCGTGACTGCTGCTGCTGCTCGTGCTGCTGCTGTTGCTCGCGCTACTGCTAGTGCTCTGGCTGGAGAGCTTCTGGAATTTGTAGTTACCGGACTGGATCTCCCGTTTCACTCTGAAAAGAAAGAGCAGTGTCAACAACTAAACAGTTGGCCTACAGGCACGATCGGGCACTCGGGATGGTCAAGCGCGCACTCACTTGGTCTTGTGCTTGGAGGCCGGGGTGGACGCTGGGGTGGACGTGAGGGCGGGCGATGGCGGGTCCACCCCGCTGGTGATGGGTATCGGCCGACGCCAAGGCCGCTTGTCGATGCAGGTGCCGCGGGCCTGGCCGTGTGCCGCGCGGCCTGGGGTGGGCAGCGTGTGGTACATGCCGTCGGCAGGGCCGGCGCCTGGCTCCAGGGTCAGGGGCGCGGGGATCTTGTGCCTCTTGGCCGGGACGGGCCTCTCGCCCTGGGGCTGGTCGCCCTGGTCGTGGGCATGCCTGACCGCCGGCCTGGGGGACAGCCGGCGCAGCAGCAGCGACTTGGAGCCTGACCCCGACCCCGACAGGGAGCCCGAGGCCGAGGCCGTGAGCTTGGCGCGGACCCCCATGGACGGCGACACACGCTGCGAGTGGCTCCTGGGGGGCGTTTCGCCCCGGATGTCCCCGAGCGGGCTGCAAGGGCCGGGCGACAGGGTCTCAACAGGGAGCGCGGGCGACGACAAGGACGGCGACATTTTGGCACCCACGCCTGTAGAGGACCGCCGGGACAGGGTGGACGGCGGGACGGCAGGCAGGGGCGGCGACGGCGGAGGGATGTCGACGAGGTTGGGCGGAGGGAGGGCGCTGCTCGAGGACTCAGCCGCGAGCGCCACGTCACGGAAGGGCTCAGGGGGCGGCGGGTCATCGCTGAACATGGACGGCGGCGGCAGCTGGAGCTCCTCGTCATCGAAGGCGGGTTCAATGACGGCAATGGGAGCGGGTCGGAGCGATCTCCCGGGGGCGGGTGAGGGTGGTGACACGCTCCCGGGCGCGGGTGGAGGTGGATCCCCCGAGGAGGTGGGGTTCGCGAACCACACCGGCGGAAGCAGCGGGCTGTTGCTGGACACCAGGTCCGGGAAGGGGAACATGGTGTGCTGCTCCGGCAGGTTCTTGGCGACGAGGTCCGGCACCGTCTGGCCGGCCTGCTCAGGGGCCACGTCGGGCAGTGGCAAGGGGCCCCGGTGCCGGACGCGCGACACCTGCGCCAGCTCCTTGAGTCTAGCGCGCAGGAGCTCCCCGCTGACCTCCCTGGCCGGGGCCTCGGCGCGCCGTCCCGCCAGACGACTCGCCGCCCCGACGGCGGGAGCTGCCCTGACCCGCGACATGGCCTGCAAGCTCACCACGGCCATCTCGCGGTCCGTGTCGGGGCTGAGCTGGCCGCTGGAGGCGTCGCGCGAGGACCGGCGCGAGGAGTGTGACACCCAGCCGCTCTGCTCCGACGTCACGTCACCGTCGCCTTCCCGGTCGCCCTCGCCGTTCACCGACAGCGACACCGAGGACGACGATCTGTCTGCGGGCCTGAAAAATACAAAAGATAAGCTCAAGCGTTCAATCAGTAGGTCAGTGTGAGCGGAAAAGGGGAGGGGGCACACTTACACTTTGCCGTTGATAATCGGGGAGGTGGGTGAGACCGGGTCGCTCGGCGGCAAGAGTAGGTTGCTCTCCGGGTCGCGGATCATGTCTGTGAGGTTGGGCATGGATTCACAGCTGGCGGCGCGCCGCGGTGGCAGCGGGAGCGGCCTGCAGTCCTCGTCAATGTGGAAGCCGTGCAGAGCAGCAGTCAACTCGTCCTGCAGGACGCCCAGCCCCAGTCCCTCGTCCGCAAGGGCGCCGGGCAGGGACACGGTGCTGCGCGAGGGCGGCAGCCCAGGCAGGTCGTCGGGCAGAGGTGACTCCGGCACCGCGACCTGGTGCCCGCCCTGTCCGCTCAAGTCGTAAGGCACGCTGGCACTCGTCTCCAGGCGGCGGTATGTGCCGTTGCTGAGCCGAACGAGGGGCGCTTGCGGAGGCGAGTCGCTGATGGACTCGGTGGACGACCCGCCGCCGTCCTGGTCGTTGGAGGTGGCGCGGAATCGAGGTGGTGGAGGCGGGAGCCCATTGTCCATCCCCAGGCCTCCGCCCAGCCCGGCCAGGCACTCGCTGCTCTTGGAGCCCGGGACGTCCACGTCGACCACGGGCTCCGAGGCCCACGCCTCGGTCTTGTGGCCGTGGCTAGTCCCCGAGCGACCCTGCGGATAGGGCGACGCGCGTCGTCAGAACACCAAGTCCTCCAGCCCCCCACGAAAGTCACCTACCGTCGTTCTCTCGGTGCTCACTGCTCACCTGTCCGTGCCTTGATGGGGCGCCGTTGGCCGTGCCGTTGGCCACGCCGTTGGCCTGCAGGGACCGCAGCTGGTCCAGAGACTTGCTGTGGCGCGCGCTGCGGGCGTTGGCCGTCGCGCCTCGCACCGGCAGGGTGGCCGTCTGGTCCGGGGGCTGGCCGTGCCCACCCTGGCCGCGGTGCGGCTGCAGGGTGAGCGTCGCCTTGATCACGTTGTCGTCCTGCAGCTCGGACTGCTCGCCCACGCCCACCAGATCTGCTGTACAATTCGTAGGTTAGGACAGGGTGCAGCTCCGACCAAGATCAGCCCGGCAGGTCGCCGCGCCACTCACCCGTGGACTGCGTGCTGTTGCTCGCTAGGGTGGTGGTCGTGGAGCCCGACCGCTTGTTGGCCCTGGACTCCAGGATGGCGGAGATGCCGCAGCTGCAGTCGTCGTGGCTGGCGAGCGGCGCAGCGCCGTGGCCGGCCCGCACCGGCTGCTTGCTCTCGTCTGCAAGAACACGACCGTCAGCACCGCGGCCAGGGTGGGCTCCGCAATCGCACCCGCACCGCGCGGACAAACTCACCTCCGCGCCCGAGGCCGCTCAGGCCCGCCGCGCTGCGCCGCCTTGCGAACTCGTCCACCTCCTGGTACTGGTCCTCGAAGATGATGGGGAGCGTGGCGATGTCACCGTCGGTCTCCACGCACTGGATGGGCAGCGGCGGCAGCGACGCCAGGTAGCGCGACCGGCGCGCCATCTCGCTCACCGCCAGGTAGTTTTGGTAGTTGGCGTCGTAGCAGCCCGCCGCCGAGTGCCGGGGGTTGTCCAGCACGAAGAATGCCTCGGCGAACCGCCGAACCTGCGAAGGGGAGGGGCAGGGGCGTTTCGAGCTTTAGCGTGCACCCTGACACAACCCTGGAGTGAGTCGTTGAGGCCGTGATCGTTGAGAGTTTCTTACCCTCAGCTGGTGGTGAACTTTGGACAGGTGCTGGTGAACAGGTTCCTTTAGGGTGAAAGCGTCCAGAAACTTCTGCCAGAGCATGATGTTCTCAGCGCATAGCTGAGCGATGTCCTTATTCGCGAGCGCCGCGAACTCTTCCTCCACGTCAACGCCCTAAGGAAGGAAGCGGGACACGGTTAAAATCAGCAGGTGGCGCTTGTATTTATCAAATAAATGTTTAACTACCAAGTAAAAGCATTTCTCATGTCAAACTATTAAAACTTTGCTGAACGGATTATTTTATATAAAATGTAGAAAATTACAGACTATGATACAACGTCTTTGAAATGTCCAAGCAGTAAATGTAAATACATCAGGTGTACTATTACGCTAAGGAAATAATTGTAAAATGACGCAAGCTGTCATTACTATTACGATGTTAACAGAAAAGAAAGAAATCTTGCATGCCGGGGCTGCTCATAGCGCCTGCGGATCGTTGGGTAGGCCACCGAGCACGACATGCGTGCGTTGCGGGTCTGCCTATGAGCTGCTCACAGGCGCTAGCGACAGAAAGCAGCAGCGAATGGAGGAAGAAGAAGGATACTCATCGGTACTATGAATGGCAGAGTGTTAAAGGTTTAGGAAGGGTGAAAGTACGTATGGTGATGTATGTTGCGATGGATATTGGTCAAGTGTTATTTAAGTCCTCGAAGTTCGGCATCATGAGTGTCAGTTCTTCCTAGTCAGCGGCTGCCTCTCAGTTTGAGGAAGGATGGGAAGATGAAGCCAAGAACTACAATCTCGTCCTACGGTTGAGTCCAACGACAGACACGAGGATAGAAGCCATGATTTACTGAGCAAATGTATAAAGTGAAGCCAGTAGCAAATGCCTGACTCTCGACCGATGCGGTCGCCTGCTAGCACAAAGCCGTGTCGAGCCCTGCCGCCCGGTGGTCCCCACCGACCGGGGCCAACGGGGCGAAGGAGGGATCAGCTGTTGCTTTACCCGGTGTTCCCGGTACTCGTAGCCATGTCCGTATCTGCGGGGCTGCTCGGCACGGTGCTCGCCGGAGCCGGCCAGCGTGCGGTGACACTCCTTGCAACACACAGGGCGCTGAGACCGGCCTACCAAGTATCTCCCTTCCCTGTTCTTTCCATTCCTCTATCTCCACACTCGTTTTCATCATTCAGTTTGACTGTATTTCTCTCACACACAGCTTTGAAGGAATATGTTTAAAAAGTGCTCGAGCAGCTTAAGGAATGGATAAAGAAAACATCTGCAAAGTAATAATCAGAAGACGGCTCCGCATAAAATATGGTCTAAATACCAGAGCCGCAAAATGTGTTGTAACTGTTTAGAAAATTTACTATTTTAAAAAGAATAAATACTGAACCTCCAAAAAGGGAAAGTGCAGAATAAAGAGTATAGTGCTGGCAAAGCGAAGTGTGAGAGTATATCATTGGCAGTAAAGACAAACAAGAGTATATTTTAAAACATAAATGTATCGGTATTGAAGGAATTAGAATCTTTGCAAACCAGGCAGAACATCAGGAATTACTGTATTTTTAAAGGTGCACTCTAGCAGAAACCGTGCGAAAAGATAAACAAAGTCGGCTTGAAATCGTGAAAATACACGCGTGCTCCATTTTCAATTGATGGCAAACAATACGGCGACAACGATGGGAACTTGAAAAACAAACCGTCAACCAAATATAAAGATAATTTACGACACGGTTCGAGGCGTGCGTGCTGTGTTGACAGACTGGTCACGTCTCCTCAGTCTTTTCCACAAGCCATAAGTCTCGCCGGATCACGACCTCACCTTGGCAAAGTCGCTGAGGGTGTTGAACCGCTGCAGGCAGTCCTTGGTCTGGACGGGGGACTGCTGCCACTTGGGGAGCAGCTTCATGTACTTGACGAGCCTGGTCTGGAGCGCCTCGTAGGCGGCCAGCAGCAGCGAGCACACCTCCTGGTGCACATGCCGGGCGTGCGCCAGCCGGCTGCTGCCGCCGCTCGCACACTTGGTAGCGCCGCCGCTGCTCTGGAGCACAGCGGACACGGGGGAAGGTCAGGGGCATGATATTCCGACACGAGTCCCACTCCTCGTACTGCGACGGCACTTGCTTCTCCGACAAGTGTACTATTGCAGGCCTTACCAGGTTGCCGAAGAAAGCCGGCTCGTTCTTGTTGCCGGACGGGTGCCGGAGGTTCAGCCTCTGCGACGCCCCTAGCCATGGCTTGGTGCTGCGGGGGTTGCTAGAATCAAAGCCCAAAAAAGCGCGCACGTCACTCGTGTCCCGGGGGAGCGAAGAGGGAGGAGGAAAGGGACAAAGCTATACATCGGGGAATGTGGCAACACATATTTCCGTAGGCGTACTCACCAGCTCTGAACGTAATGCAAAATGCTCCTCCTTTTATGTGGTGCGGCAGCAGGAAAACCAGGTCCACAGTGGGATTAGCAAAAAGAAAGCGCGAGCACACGGCAAAATATTTCGCCCCCCTCCGCTTAAGTCACTCGCGCCGTGCGCGCGACAGCTTGCAACCGGGCACGGGGGCGGGCAGGAGTTAGGGAGAGAAGCAAACTGCAGAGAAATCAATCGGGTTAATTTGTTTAGTCGCCCCGCCGAGCGCGGCCGGTAAGGGTCAGGCGGCCATCAAGCTTCCTCTCCGACGCCCGAGAGTGCCATATAGGGGTGCATTGAATTCAAGCAAAAGGTCGGGTAAAAGCCTTTGAGGTGCTTCCAACATGACTGCGGGCGCGCTCGCTCGGCCGAGCCCAGGCTGGGCCTTCCGCCCTCCGGCTCGGGTACCCACTTGACGTGCGGCTGGTGCAGCGCCACCAGGGCGGCGTGGACGGTGAGGGTGACGGCGGCCAGGTGGCTGTAGTCGAACAGGAGCGGCACGTGGTCGTGCAGGCCGCGCGTGGGCAGGAAGTGCAGCCGCAGCGTGCGCGTGCACACGCTCTCGATGCAGCGCTGCTGGTCCGGCCCGAACGGCTCGTCCGTGAACCACAGCTCCACGACCAGGGTGAAGTCGGCCCGTTCCAGCGTCTCCTCGATCTGCGGGGGAAGGAGGTATATAGGACGCCGCATGAAAAGAGCAAGGCCACGGGGGGGTGGCGCACGACACCGTGGCTCGAGCGCGCCGCTTTTACCTTGTGGCTGTCGACCAGGATGAAGGCCCTGAACAGCATGACGTCGTCCAGGACAACCTCGTCATTGCGATAGAGGATGTGAAACGTCTTGGACACGGCCGTGCCGTCCACCGTGCACGCGGGGAAGATGACCTCCACGCCTGCGATCACATCGGCAATAAGGGAAACAGGAATGAGTATTCTCACAGTCTTCGTCATCACGCACTGATTATGAGCGCCACGCCGCCGCAGCAAGTGCTGGCGGGTGCCACCACCACCTCACAGACAGCGCGCCTGCAACGCGCTGGGTAGGCCAACCCGCCAAACAACTGTGAGGAGCTGGCGGCCCGCCCTGTTGGCGCTCTGGCAAGTGTATGGGCACGATACCGGCAACGGCACCGGTCGGTAAGAGAACGTCAGGCACCTTACGTTGCCTGGGTATCGGAGCTGCACTCCATTTCTCAATAATAGGCGACTTACGTTCTCGCGGCGAACGAGGCTCCCTGCCGCTCTTCCTGGGAGGCAGTGACACGTCCACGCGGACGGGCAGCTTGGGGGAGGTGCGGAGGGTGCAACGCACCTGATAGTACCTGGTAAGAAGAGGACGTATGCAATGAAACCATGGATTATTTCTTTCCACATGATAACTATTTTTATTTTATTTTTTTCTGTGGTGATGGGGGTTGTGGTGGTTTGGTAAGTGGTAAGTACTTACCCCCTCTGGAAGAGATCAACATTGTAGAATTTGTACAACTCCACTGAAAACTCAACCAATGCCTGCAGTTCGGTCATAGCGGCTTACTTGAGCGGCCCATATCCTGTGCAGAAAAAGGGAAGAAAACGGTTGCACTTGTAGTATTTTTCCACAAAAAACAACAAAAAACAGGAAGAAATTATATAACATGAATGTGAAGAAAAAGACAATATTTTCAGGAAACATAGGACTTAATACTGCTGAATTTTACTTTATCTCACATCACAAACTAAGGAAAGTAAAGTTTGTCAAACATATGTGTCATATACATAAATAATGAACGCAGGTCTACGGAAAACAAAGATAGAGGGTGTGGTTGGCGACAGAATATTATTATCATGACTTTCACAAATGTAATTTTAAAGCTTCCACTGACTCTAACTTTGCTACAGGTTTCTACTAAAACTGCAAGTAGTTAGAAAACTCACATCCACAATACTGTATAAGGTTATATTGTGAGTAAATGAGCAGCGAGCATCTGACAGCAACAAGATGTCACGAGTACCACAAAATACAATAATGGTTTAAAGAAGAGAGTCCACGAGCAAATCAAAATCCTGAAACTCACACCCACACTAGGTCACAAAACAAACATAATAAAAATTTCGTCTGCTTGGAAAAGTCCTCAACCCACACTAATACCGTAAATGAAAAGACGTCAGTACTTACACTCCATGAGTCCGCTCGCAATGATTTGATTAAGAAAGGCATTCGCTTCCGATAAACATTCCCAGCAACGACACATTTCTTAAAATAAAATTCTACAATTTCTGTACACCCGCAAAAATTAAAAACTAGAAGCAGACAAGTAGTGTTTCCAAAGAAAACCGCCAGAGGGTGTTGTAGAGGCAAAATTTCGGCCAATAGAATCTATGCCCAAAAAGTGGTCACATTTTCATTCAAGATGAAGGCGCGGTTATTTAAATGTGCCTGTGGTGCAAAATGTGTGCGTGTTGGTGGACGTTCGAAATATGTACCTTGAGAAAGGTAGGTACACAGAAGAGGAAGATGTAAATGGACAACAGTCTGTCAATATATTTTTTTTTTCAATTTATTTGTTTTACAGCCTGTTTAATATTTCAACAAATGTGAGGAAGGGAAATATTGGTAAGGCAACTACCAAAAAAAGTTGATTGACAATTTATAAAAATTACATCTCACTAAGCATAAATTTTTTCTTGCCTCTTCTTTGTAACCATAGCAGTTCCTGGTTTATGCTGAGCTTCCGGATGGTTCATCAATTCAGGTGGACAAGTGGAGACAGGTGAGGACATCATCAGCTGCTTGAGATCATAGAACAATCCGGAATCTTCCTTTGTACAGAAAGACACAGCCACACCATTCTTGCCAGCACGTCCAGTACGCCCAATACGATGAGTGTAATCTGTTGACAGAAAAAGATATTACAATACATGTTCAAAGAAAATGAAATAGTTAAAATACAGTAGGCTAATGTAGTACCTTCAATAGTTTTAGCCATATCATAATTGATGACCATGGACACATCCTTGATATCAATACCACGACCAGCCACATCTGTGGCCACAAGGATATCTTTTGTTCCATTTTTAAGACTAGCCAGGGCAAACTCTCTTTGCTCTTGGCCTTTGCCTCCGTGAAGTGTACAGGCATTAAACTGCAATTTAGTATTGAATTAGTTTCACATATTATGATAATTGAATATACAGATTTACTGTAATTTGAAAAGTAGAAACACTCACCCCTAGTTTCTCCAAACCACGTGCAAGAACATCTGCACCCTTCTTTTGGTTGACGAAAATAATGACAGGTGGTTCAACACCACGGCTAAGAAGTTCCATAAGCTTACGCCGTTTGTCTTGCTCAGCTATAATGAAGACAATTTGTTCTGTTCTTTCAACAGGTTTACCAATAGAACCAATGTAAACTACTGCTGGTCGGCGAAGGTAAGTCCTAGCTAATCTTTCTACAGCTGGGGGCATAGTAGCTGTAAACATCACAGTCTGAAACAGAAGTAATTGAAGTATGTGAGTTCAACTGCAGTTATATGAACCAATATTTTTCAGTGTTAAGGATTTAATTGTTATTACTGACCTGTCGATACTTTTTCTTTGAATTGTAGTTTGCAAGGAGCTTGACTTCATCCTCAGCATCCTCATTATCAGGCTTCAAATTCGTAACAGGCATGTACTCTAGAATCTTTTGCACATCAGGTTCAAAACCCATGTCAATCATACGATCAGCTTCATCAAGAACTATATATGTACACTGGCTCAGAACCAAGTATCTATTTTCAAGAACATCAATCAATCGTCCAGGAGTAGCAATGACAATCTGAAGAAAAAAACAAAACACATAAATATTCAAGTATGAGCATAATGGGTAGTGCTGGTTCAAAAAACAATCAAAATATTACCTCACAACCCAAACGAAGGCGGAAACCCTGTTCCTCTCTTGATAAACCTCCCACTACTACAACAGTACGTATGCCAAGAGGTCCTCCAATTTTAATTGTCTCTTCCTCGATTTGTTGGGCCAATTCTCGAGTGGGAGCCAAAATAATTGCATATGGACCCTTGGATGAAAAGAAAAGTTATGAAAATTGTGTAAGGAATT